GTGCCAGCGCTAACCCAATGTCTTGGCTGGGGTCGATTGGGGATCAATATTCACAGTTCTTCAACCAGCCGTACCCTGCAAATTGGCAAGGACGAAGTCTCAGCCAGCAAGAACAGATAGAACTAATGGAAAATCTAGTTCAAAATCCGCCTGAAGTCTCATACCGCCCTGATGAATCTACGACTTATTACAACAATGAAATTCCATGAAATTCGGGTTGTCACTGATGATCTATCAAACACTTCTGAACAATAGTGCGTTTTCTTAATGCAATTGTTGCTGGTTAGTTGGCGAATTCGCCTAGAGGGTTGGTTTCGTCCAATGCGATAGATGTGGTGCCATGAGATGACTTCGTTTCCATTTCCATTGGCATTTGTTGTTCTCAATTTCCTTTCTTTTCTTTCTCCCTTTTACATTATTATTTATCCTGCATTGAAAACTGGTACGGGTGATGTTGATTCGACTTTTTCTCTGTTATCAGAATGATGGAAGTGTACGTTTTTGAATATATACCTTTTATGCGCGTGTGCGTGTTTCAAAATCTGCTCTGACGAAATGCCAAAAGGAGGATTTCGGCGTCGATTAAAACCCGCTATTTTTTCCCTGTTATGTATCTCAGTTCGTTCTTTTCTTCGAAATCTGCTTCATGATACTTCATGATACTTCAGGGTATGTGGTTTATTCGTGTCTTGAGTAGTTAGTTACTTGGAGAGATTTTTTATTTGGATATCCTACCTCTTCGTCTTTTTCTACTTCATCTTCCAAGAGTCGGATGTGCACCGCGCAAATAAAATTCTATGTTGACTAATATACCATCTTGCGTCTTACGATGCTATTGGTACCATATAACTTTCTGATAATTTTTACTTCACTGCAGTTTTATTTTGAATGAATGCGTGTGCATGCAGAATAATAAATTTTCCCAGAAATATTATCACGTGACTTTAGATATGTTGGGCTGTTGGAACTTGGACCCGTAACCTTGATCGCCCGGACTAATGTAAATTCGATATAAGTGTTTCGCTTCGTATGCAAAATATAGTTTATGATATATATATTCTCCTTGCAATATGCTTCTGAGTCCCCTCTTTTCTCTTTTTGAGATATAACCCATTACAAACAATAACTAATAGTTATGCCGATGCAATCAAATTTCCCCCAGCAAGCTCCAACCTTGGTTCTTCCGCCAAGCCCCGGGTGAAGGCGACCAGTCACACGTGACCTTTTTCACTTCGCCGTCATCCCAGCAACCTCAACCTCGCTGTCTTCTCTATCTCACTGAACAACGGGCGTCAATCCACCATCCAGCCCAGCATCCGTATCGCACATCCATCTCCTGTATTTGACACGACACCATCGGACAAGTGTTAGAGGCTGTCTGAATTCTGGCATGTGGACCCAATAGCTCGTCGCTGAAGGTCAGCCTAGGTTACGCTCACGGTCCTTTGAGCCGTCGCTTTCGCCATCCAACAACTATCGTTACCGGGCCCATCGATCCGGTACGTGTCTGGCGCAAGCATTACAGCAGCTGGTGTAGGCTACTGGCCACACTGTCATCTTTCCTACATCGTCCGGGCCTCATGTCCTTCGTACCGCTGGCATCCTCCTACAAAGCCGGTCCTCCTCTATCACCTTCCTCGCCCTCGGCCGACAGGGCCAAATCGCATCAGCTGCATCAGCAGCATCACCCGAAAGACCAAACACCTCATACTCCGACCTCCCCTCCATTGATGTCAGCCAGTGCTCAAAACTATGCCTCGAGCTTCTCTACTACTGAAACGTCACCTGCGCAGACCCAATCCACCTCACTCTCCTCTCCGCCTTCCTCCGTCGCAATGTCCACTCAGGTCTCCCAACAGCCCACTGTAACGTCAACTACATCATTTCCCACACCCGCAAGCAGTGTTTATGGTCATTTCGCCACCAACAGCACCATGGATGAGCCAGAAAGCAACTCCAAGAACGCTACAGCAGACTCTCAGAAGGACGGAAGACCGTCGACTTGGGAAAAAAGAGGGTTGGATTTCATTGATATTGATCAACCAGGACACAGAAGAACTGACCACGACCGGCAGAAAGCCAGTCTGCATGAAAATTTTGATGAAAATGAAATGGATTTGGATTACAGAGTGGCTTCAACGTCTCAAGAAGAACGGCTGGCCCTGTCAGCCCTCCAGCAAGATATAGGCACTGCTTTCCATATCTGCAAATCTTGTAAGGTCTCCCTAAGACACTGCCTTGTCTGACTTCTCAAGTCCAATACCGTTTCTAAAAATTATTCCTGGTTTGTGATATCTTTTTCTTGGGCGTCATTGATGTTAACGCGACTTGAACACTCTAGCTTATACCGCATCCGGCCCGAATCTGAGTTTAGATTTAGTATCACTCTACGGTTTAGGCCCGGTTGCTGCGTCTGTTGCTCGGACCGACCCCGTGACGGGCGAAAAGATAAACAGGTTAAGGAAGTCGTATGAAGGGAAAATTAAAGGTCTTTGTCTAGCCGGAAGAAATAAACCCGTGAAGGCCGAACCTGGAGCAACTGGAGGGTTAAGATATCTGACATTATGGCCAGAAGAGGAGTGGCAAAACCAAAAGGTGTATGGAAAGGATATAAAAGTCCCGGAGCCCGAATCGCCCTTCTTCAAACAACAGTTGAAAGCGATGAAACTGGATGCAGGGATTTTACCCAATCATGAATTCTGGGAAGATGCGCTAGGTCATGAGAAGCCATCCAAGGTCCTCGTAGTTGCAGATCCGTCAACGGCTAAAATTGCTGGAACCGTCCCCACATCTATCCGTCACCCAACCCAATTGAACGGTGCAACCACGTCGGTATCAACTCCTATTGCTGAGAACACAAGACCGAAGCGCACAGGTAAGAAGCGCAGTTATAATGACAGCAGTTTCGTCGGCTATGGCGAGGGATTCCCGGATGACGATGCGGACTTGGAAGGAGAGCGATTCTCTAATGGCGAAGATGGAGGACGAGGGTCGGGAAAGAAGAAAAGGAAAAAGGTACCGAGCTAGATTCCCTAGCACCTAGCTGCGGCATAGTTATTCCGTCCCCCCTCGTGTACCTATCTAATTTATCTTGTCGACAGGATCACATTTCGGGAGTGTCTCCCACCCTCACTGAACGAAGCGGAAGCTACGGTGTCGGCATGTTTGGCGTTGGCGCCCGATGACATTAATCTGAACTAACAATGAGCAGCATGAATTTTTCTAACTCACGGGAAAAAGTTTATGGTTCCAACTAATATTGGCGTTTTTTTTTTTTTTTTTTTGGTGTTTGGGGTCAAACTTTTCTTCCCCTGTTTTATCTGTTTTTATCTTCTATTTTCATCCGTCTATGGTCTGTTTTTCACTCCGTTGTAACTCGTTTGGTTTCTGTTTATTATTACCCATTCCTCCACTGGAAATATGCATGGTGGTACTGGATATACCCGCCTGATCAAACCGGCGTTATTTGGAGGGTTAAACCCAGGGTCTGGCAAGGATATGCCACTGGGGCGGTTATTTGGTTTTTTCCTGTTCTCTATTTTTGTCTCGTTTCCCCTTTTTGTTTTTTCTTACCTCTCCATCCTATTCCCTCTGATTAATCTACTTTTCTTTACTCCGTACGACATGCCTCTATTTTATACCAAGGTTTCAATCAAGGGCACCTGTTATTTTCCTTCTTCCCCTGTAGCTATGGAATGATTCGTCGCGGCGTTTCATATGACCGGGTTATTTGTTTTATATTTCCCTTGATATTTTTCTTCCTCTTTTCCATTTTACTCCGCCCTTATTTTCCATGATCAAAACTAAAGAAGAAAAATAAATGGAAAAAAAAAGAAAAAGAAAAAGAAAGAAAAAAGGGATAAAAAAAGAAAAAAAGAAAAAGAAAGAAAGAAATCCAACTCATTAACCATCTTACATCTCTGTTTTATTCCCCTTGCGAACCCTGCATGTTTGTCCCGCGCTTTATGTTACTTCAATCGCCCGTTTGTTTGAACTTTAAGCTTTTACTCAATACCTTCCCCTTCTCTAAAGCCCTCTATATACGTATGGGCCAATACTTCCACGAAACCTGTTTCATAGTACGAGGCCGTTAGTTTTCTGTTTCATTTTCCTTCTTTTGCCTGTATTGCGTTTCTGCTTATCGGCAACAGGTGTGTTCGATGCATTATGTTGGAATGAATGAAGAGGGTCTTGCGTCATGTAGTTAACATACAACAAATATAGTGTTTAAACAAGGGAATATGAGGTATTAGTTCCTTTAAAAACCCTTCCACCCCCTCCCCTCCCCGGTCTCACCCTCCTCTCTATAGTTTCATATGCGAAGAGGAACCGTCTGGCACCTTTCTCAGCTGTCAGCGGCCATTAAGCTTTTTGGCTCAGGTGATGAGTATTGATTTGAGAGCAGCCATGAATTCTACCTTCCTATGATATAAAATTGATATCAGGAAGCAAATCTGCATTGAAATTAACCATGAACTATGATCGCTAGTTTTATCGAGTAGAAAATCATTCCGTTTGATCACTACTACGGTAATTAGTCCCTTCAAAGAACAACAGGAAACTTAATAATATAGAAGAAGTCTAACTTATTGAAAGAAAGTTATTGTTTAGTCACTAGCTGCCCAATATCTTACTGTTTTTGCCTTGATTTGAACCCCGGCCATTATTCCTAACCGGCTTCTTTTCTAGATCCTTCAAGATGGGTTGATTGCTAAACCACGGGACTTGATTTCTAGCAGCTCTAGCACAGGAACAGGTAAAGGACGAGTGTATGAGTGGAACGGATGCACCTTGACATGAAGTGGAGAACTAAGCAGTTCTGCATGTTCCCTGAGAATATGCGGCTGGTTTATTTGGGAGATTGTCGAATGTCACTCACTGGCAGGAGGTTATCTGATCATGAGCTCTGAGACTCGGGTTTTTGATATGTTCCAGACAAACAAGCCTCATTCATAGTTTTGGAGGGAGAGCTGCTTCGGAGACGGTGGAGCTCCAGCAAGTTATATCGCAAATTTCTTCTCCCTGTACTCCTTCAAGGTTGGCGCTGTTGCTTTCCTTCTTTCCGGATCATGGACCACGGTCTTGACGGCATCCTCCACACTCATCGTAAATGCTATAGAGTCGCTTTCCCCTTGCACCGGTTCGCCATTATTGCAGTCGATTCCAAGCTTTGCAACATTCTCACCCAGACATACAAATACCCATCTGAACGTGTCTTCCAACTTCTCTCCCGCATCTGCATCACTGCCTTCATGACCATCCAACGTTTTCACAAGGGCTTTGTGGGATTCAATCAACTGCTGTGTTTTAAAACGTCCCGCTTTAATCAGTGGTTTCATCGTCCGACAGAAAAACCCGTAATAGTCATTATCTATTGCTGGATGAAGATTCCTTCTTGGATACCAAGTTCTCCATACTGCCTCGAAAACTTCCTCATAATACGGCCCAGAGTGTTTGTAGAGAGCTGCATCTTTCTTGTAAAATGAGCGGACTATCGATGGCGGGAGTGAGGAGAACGGGTAGAATTCCCGTTTATGATAAATATCCTGGAGCAATTGTTGCTTGAGAGATATCGAGATTCCACAGCGGAAGGTACGCGCGGACATCTCAAAACGGAGGGGTTCGTTAGGCATGACAATTTTGGTATTCAATAATATCGCTATTCATAGATATCATATGGCTGCCGAGGTTTTTCTGCCGAGGGGACAGGCAAAATCAGAGCTGCACAGAGCTCTCTGATTCGGTCTCAGATAACCTCTGCTGACCGAAATGGTAAATGGCACACTGACCTCCTCTTCTCCTCTGAGTAAACGGATGGCTGTGTTGACGGACAAACATTTTAACTAAGACGCCTGCGCCGCAATTTATCTGCTTCCCACGGAGGATTAGTTGCTCCAGGAAATGACTCTTCAATTCTGGTCATCCCGATTGCATTGCTAGAGATCTGGATATGTTCCAAGACAATGCAAGCCCTAATGTGGGGATTAAGTTCATGCCCATTTGACCACTTAGCCTTGGTGGACATATTATGACAGGAAATGATATCCGGACCATCAGGGGATATAGAGAGAAGTATGTCACAATAACTAAAAGGAGCGAGTACGAGCGTAGTTGGTAGTGGAGCAACTAAATAGACATGAAGGAGTGACTGAAAAACAGTGATGAAGAAGAACATGGCGGTCTAAAGAGTGGGCATCAGAACCTGTCATCACACACTGGCACATAGGAGGGAGGGGTGTGTCGCCCGCACCGCGAAGAGCAGAAGCTCAAGCATAAATGATTGTGAACAGCCTGGTGAATATAAGCATGGTAATCCACAACGAAAAGAATAGTAAAGGGGTAAAGCAGAAATAACAAAACTCATTCTCCTTGCTGAAAGAAACCTAGGACCGAATTTTTGCAACACCAAAAAGGAACCAGACGATCACAGATACTATGGGTGGTTGTAAAAGAGAATCGGTAACAGAAAAACAAAAAACAAGAAAACCCAGGGTTACATCAATAAGGACCAATCAGCTGTCCACAAACTTTCTCCAGTCCTTGAATTAAGGGTCAACAATTCTCCCGTATTCTTCGTTCCAAGGACACTGGCCGTTCTTATCCTCATAATCTTAAGAGTTCAAGTCTGATATCGTCTCTAGTCTTGCCATTGATCGCCATGCGCATCTCCCGCCACTTGCGGTCCACTATTGCATCCACATTCCTGTAGCGAGCAAAGTCGTCATGCTTGGATGGTGGTATGTGGTAGAATACGAAATACGGCCCCACAGGAGAAAATCCATTATCACCCTGTGACTAGACCTTGCAGTCGCTGGAGGTCCTGTGGTAGTTTCACTATGTACTTAACTTTCAGGCGCCTTTCAGAATGATGAACTCCCTCGAGATATAGGGGACCCAGTGCAAGGGATTGATAGACCTCTAAATCTGCCCACAATCGCTGTCTCTCGTTGTGGCTATGGAAAATTAACTTTCTTCTCCATTCCCCAGACGAGGGAGAAAATCGCGCGGCGGTCACCTGCACCATAGACACAGGAAGCTCCAGTCATTTTTTGGGAAAGCCGCTCTTTCAGGGAGGATTTAGTCGTGACTAGCGACACTTTTGGCACGAGATTTTATCGACTTCAATAGATCTGTAGTTAACAGCACTGTTCAAAGTAGGAAGGGAATTAAGAAAGTGGAAAACGCATCTCGGGAGATGAATTCGAATGTATTTGGGGTTATGTGGCCTTTTTTTTTTTTTTTTTTTTTTTTTTGCTTGCTCTCAATATCGCTTTCTCGCTGAGGAATTGATTTTGTATGGTTGGGTGCTTCTCACTTGAAAACAAGTAGATATAAGTGAGATCTCTCTAAGAGAGCTTTACATAGAGAGCCTGGGAGTCAACAATCCATGTTGAGTGCAGTATATTTCATAAATATTTGGGAAAACGTTGCTTAAGAAGCAGTGAAAAGGCTATATATACGGCCCTGTGCAATGAGAATTCCAGAGTAGTTTAACTAGAACGCAGTATTCCTGACGGTATTTGGATTATTATGTCGTAATATGTGGTCGTCACTAGTGCCACCATCAAAATAGCAACTTTCGGAATATATTAAAGGAAAAGAAATCTCACTCGTACTCAAGCTCCGCAGGCCTCAAAAATTTTTGAAAAAATCGTGGTGATGGCATATTTCAGGGGTATCTGTTGAAGGCGGGCGTTGGATGTAAACCGACTTTTTGCAAATTTTGTCTATAGACATGCGGACATAGATTCTGCAAATAGGTATGGTTTCCATAACCTTTTCTGAGAAATTATCGAGAAACGGTGGCTGGCAAGGAGGAGTTCCATAAACATTGAACCTGACATATATAAGGAAATGGCAGGGTTGGCAGTTGATATCATCGTATATTGATTTTTTTCCCGATTTCCTCAGGAAATACGGCGAATGGCGAACGATGAACACGGAGGGTTCAGTTTCATACCGTCCAACAGATGAGGGGAAAGAAAATATAGAAGAGCAAGGCATTGGCCATCACTCATTGGCCTGGTAATCCCGGAAGAGGCGCCATAATATTTGCGCTTCCACCTCATCCTTCGCGTGAAATGAAGAGAGACAAAAAATCGCGAAACTCAGATTTCAATGACCAAATTGGAGACCTCCTGTGAGGAGCAAACTATATTTGAATAGAAACATTGATAATATGGTTGTTTTGGTTCCGAGTATATCAGGGCTTGACTTCCGCATGGAATAAGTTCAAAGATGAAATCGGATGATCCAGGTTAATGATAGCATGGCTTCACATTAGTATTGACGCGGCGTTAAAACAGCAAACGCCCTCTTATTTATGACCCTAATCAACTTTCGTATGGTAGGAGGGCCAAACAGCTTTTAGATCCATCTTGACAATGCATGTCATAGGGCGTTCATCTCCTGCGGAAATATTAATAGTGATTGTTATCTTTCAGAGCGGGATAAAATACCCACGTAGTTACTTCACGACGTGATAAAATAAAACCCCGAAATTCGACTGAGGAAAACATCAGGGTAAAGTCCGTCGAGGTTGAAATTGTTACCCGGAATTAGGAAATTCTGGAAGGTAGATCATATTTTTCTCCTCGCTTGTTCTCGGCCCCCTTAGACTGCGGCATCCTTCAGAGCGAAGTATTGCGAATGCAACGATTACCTACCGGAAGTTACAGTCATATACAAGCTGATAGTTATCGGAGATATACGACCGATTGAATTCATTCACGAGCGAAAGGAATCCGGTAGCTCATTACCATCTGACGACAGATAATAGCATTCCCCACCATGACGTCCAACCGACTGTTAGCATCATTTCAGCTCCTATCATTTGATATATATGGCACCTTGATTGACTGGGAAAGAGGAATTATCGAAAACCTTAAACCCCTCACCGACCGTCTCTCGGATTCGCACCCGTCAGAGTTAGATCCCCTAGCTCTGTGTTCCTCACTGAATAAGTACGAACGTGCGTTTCAAGCGGAGAACCCAAGGCAAACATACGATCTAATTCTCAAGGCTTCATATGAAGCCCTTGCAAAGGAGCTACAAGCCCTCCCAGCTGCTGCTGGTGGAGAGGATCCATCCTCCATTTTGGACAAAGAGGGAACCGCTTTTGGAACTAGCATTGGCACTTGGCCAGCGTTCCCAGATACAGTTGAGGCGATGCGCAAACTGAAGAAACGCTACAAGCTTGTACCCTTGACAAACGTTGATCGAGTCTCTTTCCAGAGAACCCTCCAAGGACCGTTAGGCGGAGTTCATGAAGGGCTAAGGGATGGTGAACGTTTTTTTGACGCCGTATATACAGCGCAGGATGTTGGGTCTTATAAACCTAATCCAAAAAATTTTGACTATTTGCTATCGCATGTGAAATCAGAGTTCGGGTTGGAGAAGGATCAGGTGTTGCATGTTGCGCAAAGTCTGTTCCACGACCATGTGCCTGCAAAGAAATATGGGTTACAAAGCGCTTGGATAGCGCGAGGGGAGGGGGGGGGGAGTGGGATGGGAGGCAAGGTGGTAGAGTACCTTGAGGGCGAGAATCCGAAAGTGGCGTTTGGATGGCGATTTAATACCTTGGGAGAGTTGGCGGAGGCTGTCGAAAGGGAAGCAGAGAAGGAAGCTGAGAAAGACGGTTGAATGAACCCACCACGTCAAACACTAAATCACTTTAGGGTGGGTAAATAACGATGATACCAATTGCGTTTGGGGGGGGGGGGGGATCAGTTTTGCGTGTTTGAGGTGGGATGATTTCATGAATCCTTCGCCAAGTTATAATGTCCCTACCAGATTTTGAATGACAGAGATGGGCATTCGAGTTCTCTATGTCGTTGTAAATCGAGATGCCCAAACTTGCTAAAAGTTACGATGTAATTAAGCCTTTCCTCTATCACAGTGTACTTCATCGCCTCTGAGTATATATATGTATGATTTTTCGTGTATCCGAAACATTCATTGGATTGTTTTTTCGCTTCCCATACCGCCTTTGGGCCATCCTCTCCTACTTCTACAGTCCAACTTTCTCATCCACAATTTTCTTCACAGCCTTCCACCCTTCTCCTGCGGGAACCTCAATCACACGGCGCTCCTTCTTCTCCAATCCGACAAACTCGGGAGGAAGAACATTCTCAAAACCATAGCCTTCTTTGCCATTCAGCGCCAAGTCAACCGCATGAGCGAACTTCGCAGGATGTGCCGTTGAAAGGGAAATGTGATGAGTTCCAGGGTTGCGAGATATAGACCGGAGCGAAGCGGCAACTCCAACAGCAGAGTGTGGATCAAGAATGTATCCACCTGTTTTTCCTCTTGTTCCGCTGGTAGCTGGGGGTGGAGGGAAGCAAGAGCAATATACATCACGGATTGTTTCTATCGTTTGTAAATCAGAGACTCGCTCTGATTCTAGATCATGTTTGGCCGCATCAAGGATTGCTGGCTCAACACTGAAGCCACCTTTGGACTTAAGATCATCAAGCCATCCTCGGACGACATCGCCAGCTTGTTGCCGCTGCTTCTGGATATCTTGGTCTCCACCGTAGATTTTGAAGGCAAGAAACCAAAGCAGCCGTTCGAAGTTGCTTGACACTAAGATGTCCATGGCAGGGCTAAGGGTTTCTTTGACGCTACTTGCTTGCGCGTTGGCGGCGCCATTTTCAACGGGTTTCTTGGTGTATTGACCGGTTCTCCAGAATCGGTAGAGGATATCGTTCTCGTTTGTTGCGATGACTAACTTCTCTACGGGGAGGCCCATCTGTTTTGTGAACCAGCCGGCCTGTATTCCTCGTTAGATGTACTATTTGAATAAAAATGAAAATAAATACGTAAAAATATTGTACAGCGACCGGGTTCTGGTGGGATAACTTACAAGAATATCACCAAAGTTACCCGACGGTACGACAAATCGTACATCCTTGCCTTGAGCGTATGTTGGAGATCGGATGAGGGAGAAGTAAGAGTGAACATAGTAGGTCATCTGAGCAACTATGCGCGCCCAATTTATTGAGTTTACAGCAGCCAGTTTGTGGACCTTGTTCATTTCAGGATCGGCGAACATTGCCTTGACCATGTCTTGGCAATCATCAAAGGACCCTTCGACGCTCAGGTTATGGACATTGGGGTCAAGAACTGTTGTCATTTGCGCTTCCTGGATCGGGGAAACCTTGCCCTTTGGATGAAGAATGAATATGGAGGCGTCTCTCTTCCCTCTCAGGCCGTATATCGCAGCAGAACCAGTATCTCCGCTCGTGGCACCGATGACAACAAGCTGATGTCGGTCCTTTCCAGTCTTGCCCTTGTTTCGTCGCACAAGGAAATACTCGAAGAGATTTCCGAGGAACTGCAAAGCGACGTCCTTAAATGCAAACGTCGGGCCGCAAAAGAGCTCGAGAAGGTATAATTGTTTGGAGTCATCGAGAATGACCAGGGGGGTTATATCTGGGGATCGGAAAGTTGAATAGCTGCGGTTTATGATATTCCTCAAGTCCTCTGAAGGGATTTCCGACGGTGAAATATACAGAGAGAGGATTTCAAATGCCAACTCTTGGAAGCTGTAATTCATCCATTTCGTCTCCCAGCCCACTGGTAGCTGCGGTATGGATTCAGGAATGAAAAGTCCGCCATCTGGAGCGAGGCCCTTCAACACAACCTCTTCGAAAGACAGCTGGTAAAACGGCATTCCATGTTAGCCTTGAAAATTTCTGCCTTGAATATTGGACGCAGATAGAAACAAAGAATGACAGCTCAAGCAGCGGCTTTTAGATTGGACTACGTACCCCGTACGATGTACCCCGCGTACTAAGATATCTCTGCGAATCGGTGCTGGACATTTTTTTTCCCCTCAAGAAACTGTAGTGAGGGCGACGTCAGATGCACCAAGGGGAGCAGAGATATAACCCAAGCAGAGCAGTCAGTCAGTCAATTTCTCTAAGAATTTGTCGAATCTCGCATTAAACTTGACCATCCCGCCACTTTGCTGCATGACTAAGCATGTCTGCGGGTTTCCGCCAAACACCCAGCTCCGATTGCGGAGACCGGTGAAGAAGCAGCGGAAACGAGAAAAAGGGCGTGAAAGGATGAGATTTTGGCAGTTGTTGTTCGCTATGGATGGATGAGCGCGAAGATGGGATTGAACAATACCCAGTTTCCTTTTCTCATTGGCTGCTCAATCATATTTAGCCTGCAGGGGCTTTTCTCTCCAAACACTTTTTCGTTCTGGCGGTTCCGGCTGCAGAATACAAACAATTAAATACCAGTTTGTTAACCTCTCCGATGACCGTTCGTTTCAAAATCTACCCTCCCGCCACTCAGCAGTAGTTAGTACCTAATGACTTCTAAATTTGAGCAAGCGCTCGCGCGCATTGATGACGCACATAATGAAGACCCCAACATCGTCTTTGTCGACGGTTCTGAAGTCCCATATGAGCTGCATTATGCAAACAAGATGACCAAATATCTCGAGCAAGACAGCCCCTCTGCCTCCGAAATCCTCAGATTAGCTGTACGCGCTCAACATCTACGGCGCTGGGAAGTCCCCAGGTCCTCTTACCCAATGACCAAACCCGGTTACTTCGCCTGGAGGAATACGTTGAAGAATAGACAGGCCAACCTAGTTGAAGAGATATGTCGCAGCTGCGGGTATGATTCAGATGAAGCTGAACGCGCTGCGGCACTCGTTCGCAAAGATCATATGGAGCGGGATGAAGAGTGTCAGGTTCTGGAGGACGTGGCTTGCTTGGTGTTTTTGGATGATCAATTTGAGAAATTCGGAAGGGAACACGATGAGGAGAAAATTGTGGGTATTTTGAAGAAGACTTGGGCGAAAATGTCAGAGAAGGGTCATGAATTGGCTTTACAGATTGAGATGTCAGAGCGGGCAAAGGGGCTAATTATGAAAGCTCTGTCATCGTGAATTTTGGATCGGGCGAATTTACGTATGCCAATATGTCTCTACATGCATAATGGAACTGATGAATGCAACACCACAGTACCTTGCAATTATCACAGACATCTAATTTATTCATAAGCAATGAATTGGAGAAACAGGACCTGGTATAACCTCCCTGGCTTCAGAAATATATGTAGTTCTAACCTCCTTGGGGCGTATTATCGATCAGTCGAACCAAAGTTATCGCCGCTCCCGTGGCTACTCCCCCGACCAGAACCATCTGCACTCCGCCCTTGACACCAGCAAATATATTATCCCTTCCTCCCCATCCTCGCACGATACAAGTCTTGATATACCCGAACACCATCAGTGTTATCCCCATGACGCCTACACTATACTTCAGTGCGGTAATTACCTGATGGCAAATAATGTAAGGAACAAGGGGTATAAAGCCACCGACGAAGTATCCCAGAGCAAGTGTAACAGCGGAGACATAAGCTTGGTTTTGCTCTGGTGCGGGTTGTTTATGGTAAAATGCAAGGAGGAATTCCATCAGCTGCTGCGGCGAGCTGTGCAATGTCGAACTCATTTCCGAAACTGGATGATCAGGGAGACTGTACGGAGCAAATACTTCTCGGACCATAGTTGTGGTCTCGCACGGGCATGATTGGACGAGATTTTCAATTTCACGTTTGGTGGTCTCGTATGATTCTCTTAACAAAATCACAAGGGGCAGCAGTCAGCTTTTCACTTCGGAAACAAACCCACACAACTTGAGCGCCTTTTTTAATTCAAACTTACAGTTCACTCTTCGCACCCACAAAACCGCCTAATCCCATCGAAATAGCCCCAGCCACCAGCTCCGCCAGACTTCCTAGGACTACAACTTTGGTATCATTGAAAGCTGACAGCCCCGCGCTGAGCGCAAAGGGCACTGTAAGACCGTCCGATAGGCCTAATATGGCATCTGATATTACTCTCGGGTTGATTCGGCTGCGCGAGTTTTGACTCTCATCCGAATCATTAGTCCGGGTACGTGCGCAGGGAAGCGTTTGATATCTTGTAAAATCTTGCGCTTCGGGGTCGCCATTGGCGGCGAGGCGTCTTCCGCATCTTCCATTCCCGTTGGAAAGCAGGGGCTCTCCTGTAGATCCATCCTGTGTGAGCGTACGGGTTGCCCAGCCGCGCGCAGTGGGAAAAGAGAGGGGGGGGGAGGGGGGAAAGAATGGCTAAGAAACATACTCATTGCCTCGTTCGACATGTGGTTTTTCAGTCTCTGTTCACTGCCTGAGCGGGTTGTGTCGTTGTTTGGTGCCATCTACGAAAGGATTCTCTTTTGAGAAACTGGAAAGCCCGTAGTACACCTTCTCTCTCCTTTAAACTATGTGCGTGGGGGCTGTGGATTGATTCACAAGTCTATCGCAAAGCAAGAAACTGAAAAACAAGGACGTGTTGTGAGATGTGTATGGGGTCTCCCAAGTCTTATTGAGTAGATGTACTATAGCTCAAAGCAATCGGGTATGCGTCTATTTCACAGAGCTGTTGGAAGCCACTATGAACAGGAGGCTATTTCTGTGCGAATGGATGTTGGGGGGAGGTGAGTGGAGAAGAGAGAGGAGGAGACGAAGAGATGGTTTATACTGAAAAGCAGAGCGTGATTTCCCTGGGTTCTTCGATAACGCCATAGATATTTTTGATGGCATCCCCCTTGTATTTTATATCTTTGGTTTTCCAATCTTCCGCATTTCCAACAAGTCGCCACCATCCACCGACCCGGCGGATGTCAATGACCGCCGTAGTTTAACGTTGCAGCTTTGGTAATTAAGTTATGAAGGTATCCGCAGCCAATCAGCACCGTTGGGAATGTAAGCTGGAAGATTTCATGGACAAAGTCTGAGAGTTAGTTGATAATCCAAGGAACGCCAGGGTTAATTAATATGACTACGACAACACGATCGCCCTCTTTACCAGCTCTTTTATCCTTGTATGGCTCCTCTCTAGCTTCCGCTGCTGGTTGACATTTGGCGATATATGAAAAATGCGTGGATCGTGGTTGGCTGCTGGAAGAGCGCTTTGATGTCATGACCAGAGCAGGCTGTTGCTGGCTGCTAGTTACACGTTTTTGAGAATCCAGCTTATCTACAAGAATAATACTTATGCTCTCTTATTCATTGAGATCTAGAGCTAAACTGTACCAAGGAACTCGACAGAAGATTGTACGAACCCAAATATTGCAGATGAACACACATCATGACCATCCTCCCATTCTTTCTTCCCCCCAATTTTTAACAACATGCCCTTTAATATCCCAACCCCTCAAGCTCCCCCCTCCCTTTTCGCATACTCTTCCTCCATCCGCTCCTCATATTAGTCTGTCGGCATCTTCCTGGCTCAATTGCCCGTTTCCGGACTCTCTGGGGGTATCAGATGGTGGAACCGCGGTCAATGTGGTATTTAGTTGTGCTTGTTGTGACTGCGAATGCGATTGTTGCCCCCGTTGATCTGATGTGGAGAAGGTTGATGAAACACCAGTGATCGTGTTGGAGGAGGACGAGGAGGAGGAGGAGCAAGGGTTGAGTTGGATGGGCATTGTGAAAAGGAGGGATTGAATGAGTTAAATTTTGGGGTAGAATACCAAAAATCTATTTTAAGGCATTAATATCCAAACTTTGTTATGATGAAGAGCCGGCCGGTAACTTTCTCGGCGAGAGTTGCTCGTCTTTTTATAGTCGCTGGTTGGGGTGGCGGTGCAAAAGGCAAAAGGTTTTAAAAAAAAAGATGGGTGGATAGTGCAAAAGTAAACAGGTTCTGGTGAAGGGATGCAGAATGTACCTGAACAATTGCCTAATTGAATTAATTTGGCCCCTTATTTTTATTTTTCCAGTTCAACATCCAAGTTCACGAGCGGATTTCTCATTACTTACTCCGTAGAAAACGACGCAACAAACCTGGTTGATGGCGATTGCGGTGGGGCGGTCTGACGTCGGAGTCCACCTTATTTTCCCAGCTACCTAGTTAGCTAAGTGGGGCATTTCTTGCCGATGAAGTAAATATTGTAGATGGCTGGGAGAGACAGAGAGCTCAAAATTCCTCCAATCCAAGACATATGATAATGGATGGCTTCATATGCAGTATTCCAAAATCGAAGAAAAGTCTATTGAATTTCAAACACCCGGCAGAACATACACGTGCATGTTGTATATCAATTTCCAACAAACTGTGCATATACGCATAATGTACAGCAAAAAAAAAAAACACTAAACAAGCGGGTTTGGCGGAGCTTTCACTGCATCCACGCAGCAAAATAAAGGAAAACATGACCCAGTCATCCAATCTGCCATCTGCACTTGTGTCTAGTCAAGCCCGTCATGGTCTCCAATAGTCAGCTCATGCAAGATATCCTCAAGCGAAGGATCATCCTCGACTTCATCCGCCGTAGCGCGACCTTTGCGTCTCTTCCCTTTCCCCTTTCCGTCACCCGAGGACATTGGCGCCTCAAGTATCCAGCGTGAAATAAATTCCGCCCGCTCAGTGCTGATTGGATACTCTTTACCGTCCTCCTGTGCCCAGCGTTTAGGTGCAGGACCTGTATATGGGACACCAGGATGGCTTTCCATGCGTTGCTCCCCGGACCTCTTCTCGCGTGCCCGCACAGATGCGAGAAAACTTTCCTCATCCTGCACACGGTCGTCTGATAGTGCTTCCATGATCGCTTCATATTTGCGACGTTCCTGCATTTCATCCTCCGTCATCTCTTTTTTTTCAGGGATGGGGTGGCCGTGGTGGCCCGGGAGTGGCGCTGGCGCGCAGATGGCTTCCCACGTCAGCTTGAGCCCTAGCCAATTGTCGACACGGTGCATGACTTCGATCCAGTCTGCTCGTGCAGGGGAGCGGGGGGCAAGGAAAATTGGGTAGCCGTCACAGACACGGGCTAGCCGTGCAACCATGTGCGCGTGGCGGAGGAGTTCCTTGGAAGAGGTTTGCAGGAGAGCGTGGCAGAGGAGGACGGAATGGAGCGCATCGGTCAGCAGAGGGTGGTAGGTTACGGCCTCATGACAATCGCAATTTGCGAGAAGCGCAGCGTCAGCATGGGTGGGTGGTATTCCCAACCCGTTTGGTTGGGGGCGTACCAGGGCTTGGGAGTCTGTAGGGAACGGAGGGAGGTTGGACGGAGGTTGCTCGGAGAACAGAACAGATACTGGATATATTTCTGTGGGAGGAAGCTGGTATTGTTCTGGGGCCCCTCCACGGCCTTCAGAAGTAGGAGATCCGGGAGATGGACTAGTCCCAGCCATGTGAAGAGTTTCTATAAGCTGGCTTTCTTGAGTACGAGTGCCTTCCGACTTGTGGTGTTCACCTGATGTAATGTTAACCTTGCGAAGGAACCCACCCGCGAGCTCAGCGGGAAGGCCTGGAGTGTAATCGAAATTGGAAAGGAACTTCAAGTAATCTCGCAGAGCACGTCTGGCATTAGACTTGACCGTCTTACGCGTTTCGAGCCATCGGCGATACGCTTCTTTCCCGGCAGGGGATAAGTTGGGCAAGACGTTGTCCTCTCCGTCCGGATTCGGGTTCAACAGTTGCTCCTTTTGCCAGATACTTAGTGCATCCAGCGCAGAATTGATATTCTGGCACGCAATCGTTAGATACACCCCCCCACGATGAAATACGAGTTGATTTTCCAAGCTGCTGGGCTGGTCTTTCTCCTCCACCTTCAAATCATATCTGAAATTTCTAGGCAATAGACCTCTTCTCTTTTCCTCCAATTCAACACGACTTGCCCCGTGCTGGGCGCTTTGTAGTCGACAGACATTTAAACCCTCCGTCAGATCTCTGGCAGCACCCACATAGTCATCCATAAACACTCTTGTAACCGCCCTTGTTCTGTAAAAGGCTCCTTCGCGTGGTCTTCTGGCAATCACCTCGTCCAGGGGTTGCAGATTGGTGCATTGCGCCAGTGACCGTGATGGAATCTTCTCATGAAAAAAATGTACGTACTTGGCATTGCAGTCCTGCTCGTTGCGCTGCAGAACCAGTTTGGCCACCTCTTCCAGTGCAGAAGCAGACTGCATTGTCGCGACACTAGCCGCAATTTCATCCAGATGGTATGCTAGGGAGAGTTTTTGGGTGGCATGTTCCCGCATCCGGTGCCTCCGTTCCTTGCTCAATCTTGCCGTTCCGCCGCCACCACCAATGCCTATTCCCAGCACTGTGCTGCTTCCACCACTTAATAGTCCATTGATCGCGTTCTGGGAGTTACTGAGGGCGGATGATGTGGTGCCATTGGCTGCACGGACAGCTAGATCGGTAGCTTCCTCGATCAAGCGGCGAATTTTCACGAGGTCGAAGAACACCGCGGGGTCAATGGGTTGAGGGCGCGGGGAAGCATAGTTGCTATATGCAAGGCTTTCTAAGACCTCTGGAGGTAATTGAAGCCATGGACCGTGGAAGGAGGAGATATAGCGCCAGTGTCTTAATTGTTAGCTAAGGCGGTTTTACTAAATGGCATAAATTGGACGACGCTGCAGATGGATGGATGAATAATTGGGGACGTATATTCAAGTATATTCGAGTATTAAAAAAGACATACTTGTTGCGGCATATTATCAAAGCGGAAGTTGATTGCTCAAAAGTCTTTGGCTTGGAGCTCTTTGATGCAGCAGCTGGTGGTGTCTTGGATGACACCGAATGAATTGGTGCTGACGGCGTCGCCAGCGTTGTCTGTGTGGTGGACGTAACTGGGCTGTTCCTTGCACCATCTACCGATTCTCCCTTTGGACTCAGGCCACTCTGTGACTTCTTTTTCCTGGTCATGCCGATGAAATTTACCAGTCGCCCAAGTCTTCATATAGATGGGACTACTCGCTTGCTCTTCAATGGGGCCTTGTTGAGGTGGAATTGGTATTCCGCTTTGTTTGAGTTTGTAGGAAGAAATATGCTAGTACAGTATTGGGGTCTGACATCTAGCCGTGATGGATGCATGCGTGTCTTCTGTGATTCAGGCACTTGAAGAGGAAATGAATACGAGAACATATACAGACTATCCACCACTCATTATATTTAAAGGCATGTTTAAGCCATTATTTCAACAAATAATCTTTATTAGTACCAACAAGGACAGGATTATGTTATGTTGCTGCAAAGAAAATGGACATGTCTATGAACATTAGTAGTCTTAATATATCTGAGCTGTTATCACATGAACGCAAATGACATCCCTCTTCAAATCATTCATGATTTGCTTCTATTTGTATTGTACTGTACACAACATTCATATGGACTCTGTATTGAATGGCGGCTTTCCCCTTTATTCCTTGTTGAACGACATTGAAAACGAACATGCCGCTCTCGCTTGATCCATTAACCGAGAGGCACCCTGTCGGCAAGACAGAAGAAGTAGTATACGTGGGATCCAAACAGGACAAAGAACAGAATTTCGGGTTGGTATAATATTAAATATGTTGAAGTAATTGAAACCGCACGTCAGGGCATCTACTCTGCACTGAGCGCCAGACAGGCGTCTACAGCAAGGCCAACTCTGAAAATGAAGCAAATATACAAATCAGTCCTGCGACAAAAACTCAGACAGAGAAAAAAAAGTTGGCCCTACTCACCTACCTTCCTTCATCCTCACGACATCATCAATGAGATCCTTATCCAGATTTGGGAACATCCCAGACAGCGTCCTGTGAGTCCGATTAGCCATATTCAGTGCAGATGAAAAACACCTTAGATGCGCCACTTACTCAACTACATTGTTATGTTCCGCCCGCTGTATGCGGCGAGCTTCTGCGGCCTCTGCACTCGCTTGGCGTGCGGCAGCTTCTTGGGCATCAAGTTGGCTGATCTGGGGGGAGGTGATGTCGTCTCTCCCACGATGTCTCTCCGCTGAAGGCCGTCTTTCATCCACTTGCCCCGTATTAAAAATGCCTACAGGTGTCAATCGTTGTTGGGTGAGGGTCTGTGGTGGAGGCGTTGCTTCCCTCTCACTCTGAGAATCTGTTTCTTCAGAGAATATTCGGCCAATGCTTGAAAGAGGCTTCTGGATTGTCCGCAATAGTCCTGTCACAGCGACATTGTCTTCGCTGCTACCAAGCTGGGAAGTATCTTTTCGTCTTGTATAGGATTCTCCTTCTGTGGAATTTCGGGGTGTTACTTCAGGACCACTGGGAGCAGACTTCTCTGGTTGCAGGAGTGATGGAGCAGCAGCTTCTTCGTTCCGCTCTGCTATGGCTGATACAGCTGCTTCCACATTTCGCTCAAATTCCTTGTCGCTAATGGTAAGGCTGGTGCGGTCAAGTGTTTCGATGAACTGGATGGCACCGGACTAGAAGGATGAAGGTTAATTAGACAGATGAGAAGGCAAAATGACTGTTGTAAAGCATACCAAAGACGACAAGTAATAGCCCGCCTCGCCAGCTAACTTATCTTGGTTTCTGAACCGCAGAATATACTGGAGATTTGAGACTAGATGCTCAGGATTTGCCTTCAAGACAACATATATTAAGAGAGGGACAAACGAATCCGCCGATGTATCCCCACTTTTCGCGTTTCGAAGTAAACCTATCAATGATTAGATTCCTTTTCAAT